GGTGTTCAAGGCCAGGCTGGATGAGCCTTGAGCAACCTGATCTAGTGAGGAGCTGTCCCTGCCCAGGGCAGGGGGTTGGGACTGGATCATCTCTAACGTCCATTCCAGCCCCTAAATTCTATGACTCTATGACTTGCCTCTGTATCACATACAACACAAGTCAGGTGCCCTTAGGAGTAGGAAAGTCTTTCATAAGAAATAGTCTTACTATTTGGAACTAGTGTAATTCTACAGGGCACAGACTCAAGCTCTGCCAGGGGAGGGTTAGGTGGATATTAGGAAGAGATTTTTTACAGGGAGAGTGATGAGAAAAAAAAAAGGCATTGGAATGTGCTGCCCAGGGAGGTGGTGGATTCACCATCCCTGGATGTTTTCAAGCTGAGACTGGATGTGGCACTTAGTGCCACGGGCTAGTAACAACAGTAGGGTTGGACTTGATGATCTTGGAGATCTTTTCCAACCAGGTTGAGTCTATGATTCTAATTCAGAAATAGCCTAACTTCATATGCAGAGATGAGAATGTTTTAGGTCACTAAATAAAAGGTGAAATTAGTAGAAACGGTGCTACAATTTAATATAACAAACAGGTTGAGACTATTTCTCTTACATAAAATATTCCAATGGTACAGTAATTCCCAGGTTTTTAAAGAAGTGCTGCAATTTAATATAACACACAGGTTGAGACTATTTCTCTAACATAAAATATTCCAACGGTACAGTAATTCCCAGGTTTTTAAAGAACTCCTGTGAATAATTGTCCTTTTGCTCTGGCAGCTGAAACAAATAGAAGTTAGATGTAAAATTTGAAGCCAGGAAAGAATTTTTCATAAGTTTAGGCTTCTTTTTTGCCTGAGGTTTTTGCTCAGGACAATGTCTATTATGAGCTCTTTGCTAAAATTTCAGCCCTGCTATCTGGAGTCAGCAGAACCCACATGCCCCAGGCAGCAGCACCACAGCAGCCTTACCTGCCTTTGTGATCACAGTGAATTACAAACTCCCAACACATCTCACACTACATTAAGATCACACTGTGCATGGTCACAGGTTTCTGAATCAGCAAGAAACTTACTCAAATGATACGTCTGCTTTCAACATACTCTTGATCCTGTCAGTTATCTTCACACAGCCACATTTTTCCTATTCTACTTTCTTCCAGCTTGTTTTCCTACTCATGAAGTCTGCTTGTACTTGTAAATAAACAGCATCGTGTGGGCCAAAATTTAAATGTCCATTACACCAAAGAGCACAGATGACACAGAGGTCTAAAATAAAAAGAAAGACCTTACACTGTTACCTAAAACATTCAAATTATGGCAAGCAAAGTTTGCAGCTTTAGGACAACCTCAGGGCAGATTTGGGTAGGAATATTTTTGAGCTATAGCTACACCTAAAACATTGATGACAGATCTAAAAATAAAGGTTGCAGCTGGGGCTGAGCTGAATGATGGGAGAAAGATCTTACTATTTTAGAAACTGGAAGATCCTTGCAGCAATTTATCCCAATACATAAGCTAATGCTTAGCTTGAAATGTGGAGTAATCACATCCACTCTGGGGGAGAGAGAAATCTGTTCTTGGACAAAATATTGGCAAACAGCATGTTTGGAGGCTGTGCCAGGGTTAAGTGACATGTACTTAAGCTCTTTGTCCTACTGCTTTGTCCAAGAGTAGAGCAGAATTCCAATTTATTCCAAACAATTTGGCAAACTGAAGTGGGAAGGGGCAGGGAGAGACAGAACACTGCACAGAGCTCATGTTTAACTAAGTCTATATGTCAAAGCAGCCAGAACATGTGATTAACAAGTAAAATCCTGACTCGTTTTCTATCATTTTTTTTCAGCGAGCTCAGTTCTAGAAGGAGAAGAAAGTGCAACAATTGATTTCAGAGACAAAAATGTCACAGAATTTGAAGAACTACCAACCCTGGTGAGTATATATGATGCTAAATAACAGTTCCTTTAAGTCACCTGCCTGTTCACTGCCTCTTCCAGTCCAGTATGTCTCAATCAGCTTCTGTGAAACCAAACTGGCAACCTAGTGTCAAAAACCTCACTGAAGAGAGACAGTTCTGCAATGTTCTGTAGTCCTCTCCTACCCCTTTTGCTGTCCTACTGAGAGGTCATCTGATGAGAAGCCTCTAGCTGGGAAGATAAATCAGCTTTCCTTGGTTTGCCTTGTCACTGTAGAGAAGGCAAAGGTGACAGGTGACAGGTAAAGAAACATCCACAGAGCACCTGACAGAGCAGGAAATTTAAATGCTACTTCATCCACATAGACTGTGTGGACTGAGGTTTTCTTTTCCCTCTTTCCCCCCCAGTTCTTGTAGTTGCCCACAAGACTACAGAATGTAACAAATCTCTTGCAGTTTGGAGAGCTGATGACCACAGAAAGTGCATTTGTCCCGGATGAAGAGAGTAACAATTCTACTGTGTACGAGGTTAACACAGAAAGTGCTGATGGTAAAAACCCTTTCATTTCTACTTTTATATATTAAAATTCTCCTACCATCTACTAAATCATATCTGGAAAATTCAAATACCAAGTTTAAGGCGCTCTCTGTGTAGACACAGAATAGATCACTCAGAGCACTGCTCTCTGTGTAAATAGACACAGAATAGATCACTCAGAGCACTACACTCAGAGCAAGGTGAAATTTTATGGGCATAATCAACCTCAGACAATCAAAATCCAATTTCTGTCTTAATTTTAATTATTTTACACCAGGTATATCCTTATTGATCTTAATTTAATCACACTTAAGTTTCACAAGTATATATTAGAACAATTAGGTTTGCATTTCTATTACTTTGGAGCTCTTTTTGCTCCTTCTCCAGTCCCTTTGGTTTGCATTTCTACTACTTTGGAGCTCTTTTTGCTCCTTCTCTTTCATTTGCTCCTTTCCTATCAAGAAGACACACTACTCACAGCCCCCAACAGCATTGAGAGAGAGCTGGGAACAGTTTTCCTTGGATAGAGCATTGTAAACTGGATTGCAAAACTCTGTACAAAGCAGAGGGAGTAATTATTCTCTTTCTGGTTTTCCAGGTGAAGCGAGTGGGGAGCCAGAGAAAACAGAAAAAGGTATAAAATAGAAGAGTTGCTTCTAAAGACACGGGGGAATGTAACTGCCAGGGAATTCCCTTCCAGAGGAACCACAACCTACACCCTGAACTGCCTCCCCTGGGTCACCTGATCACTGTCTCCATATCCACATCCATATGGAGCTCTCCAGCCCACACTGCTGAACTTCCCAAACCCACTTCCAAGTTCACAAGATAGAAAAACCTTTCCCAAAAGAGTGGGATGCAGCAGAACAGTATCACTTTTCTCAGTAGCCCCTTATCAATGGGCTCCATAAGAAACATGCTAACATTCCCAATTGCTTCTTTCAGGTGGTCTGGAAACAATTGCACTGGTTGGAATAATTATTGGAATTGTAGTTGCAGTTGGAATCCTTGCTGGAATAATAATTGCTGTTGTAAGGAAGATGTCAGGCAGGTACTCGTAAGTAAATTGCTACTCAGGCTTTTTGGACAAACATCACCCTCTGAGCAAGGTCACAGGAACCACTTGGGAAATGTCTGATGTTCCTATTTTGACAAAATTTTCTATTTTCCTGTTATACAATGCCTCAGACTCAGCAGGAGCTGCCAAGGTGATGTGAGGGATCTAAACCCACTCATGTGCTTCAGGAGAATTTCCCACCTAGTGCACACATACTGTTTTAGTATTATAACATATGTATTCTGTAATATCAGGTGCATGGGTTTGGATTAGCTACTGCACAGGGGGAAAATTCGCCAGGAATTACAGGATTTCTGTTAATTTCTTCTGGTAATAAACTTCTGGTGGTGGATACAGGAACAGTGTGGTCAGCAGGACCAGGGAAATGATTCTGCCCCTGCACTCGGTGCTGGTGAGGTCACACCTTGAATCCTGTGCTCAGTTCTGGGCCCCTCAGCTCAGGAGGGACATTGAGGGGCTGGGGCAGGTCCAGAGAAGAGCAACGAGGCTGGGGAAGGGACTGGAGCACAAGTGGCATGAGGAGAGGCTGAGGGAGCTGGGGGTGTTCAGCCTGGAGAAGAGGAGGCTCAGGGGAGACCTTCTCACCCTCTGCAACTCCCTGCCAGGAGGTTGGAGTCAGGTGGGGGTTGGTCTCTTCTCCCAGGCAACCAGCAGCAGGACAAGAGGGCACAGACTCAAGCTCTGCCAGGGGAGGGTTAGGTTGGCTATTAGGAAGAGCTTTTTTCCAGGGAGAGTGCTCAGGCACTGGAATGTGCTGCCCAGGGAGGTGGTGGATTCACCATCCCTGGAGGTTTTCAAGCTGAGACTGGATGTGGCACTTAGTGCCATGGTCTAGTGACCACGGTAGGGTTGGACTCGATGATCTTTGAGGTCTTTTCCAGCCTGGATGATTCTATGATTCTCTGATAACACTTACTGGATAACACGTGATCTCTCCCTTATCACCATGGATATTTGTGGAAGCTGTTTTCTTACCAACAAGATTCACTGGTGCCACACAAGCCAAAAGTGCTTTACAAACTGCAAAATGTCAGAAAACCCCATGACATGTAACAGATTCTGTGCACTCAGCATTAGGAGAAAGCAAAAGAGGAAGTGGGAAGAGAAATAGGGTGGTGATAGGAAAGACAGAGGGGGATGAAAAGAGATCATCTAACTAACATTTGGGTAAGGATGAGCAATAAAATGTCTGTTTTATGTTTTCCAGGCCCTGAAAGCAGATGAAACAAGCAACCATGCCATTCCATGCCAGAAAACACAAGTGCTTCTTATTTTATAAGGACTAAAGACTATTCCTCTATTGGTGTGAGAAGATGATCCATGGAAAATATGGTCAAAGAATTGCAGATCTATGGGGATCCCACACAGCTCTAAGCACCACCCCCACCCCCTGATTACAGATCATGGGACATTTCATAAGAGTTTTACTAACCAGGATTTTACTAGAAGAAAAGAGTTTGCAGTAAGAAAAAAACCTGCAGCAAAGAGATGTGCAACTGAAATGTGACTTGCAGGTAATACATGTTGGGGTTTAAATGCTACCAAAGATTATTTCACATTACATTTTATATATTTCTTTTAAAAAAAACCCAAACCATATCCAGAATCTTGTAACTGGTTTTGGCTGGTTAAGTGCTTGTGGCATGTTTGTCTACCACGTGGTGTATCAAAGAGGAGGAATTAGCTTCAGTGAGAAATACTTATTTACAAAGTAAGAAAATACTGGATATTGGAAGCTAAAATCTTTCTACTATTGATACAGATTTTCTGTTCTTGATACTTATATTATTATGTGGCAAAATCTGGTAGGCCTGGCTGGAACTGACCTACCAGCTGTAAGCTTGCTCTCTTCTGACTATTGCATCAGGAATTTCCTGCCTTCTCTTGTGGCAGAGACGTGCAGGGATTGAAATACACATCCTGACTGAAAGGGTGCTTGGAAAATACCCAGTTTTGATGGGTCACTTTAACCAGTTACTCAGCACACTTTAGAGCTGACAGGTAGAAGCTTTTCAATTAGTGTATACAATTTTTTTCTCCGTAAGTGTCTATTTTCTAAGTGTATAGTTGATCTGTTTGGTAACATGTACAACACAAGGGCAGAGTGTGTCACTGAGGTGTAAAGCAGCTTTGGAGTCTGCAGCTTTCCTGTGGCATATTTAGTGCAGCAGAACCTAAATGTACAGAGCTCTAAGGCTTTGCATGTTAAGTGGCTGCAGGGCATGAGGTTCTCTAAATTTTGAGGCACTTATAGTGTTTGGTGTAAAAATCCTGATAATCCATAGGCTAAATAATTGCTAAACATGTCAACCTATCTGTATTTGCTTTTCTGTTTCTGTCATGTGCCATGAGCTATCATATCAATCTAAGCTTTGGAAATAAAAATTATAATATAAGTTGTCTTATTTTATAATAATTGTTCTTTGTTTTCTTGAAAAAAATTAAAATATTTTAAACTTCCTTTAATTTTCCTAACTTCTTTTGCTCCTTGTCAGTGAAATGTCCTCAATAAACTCATTTGACTTTGATAAATGAAACTATAATTCTGTTCTGGTGTCCTCAACATAAGAAGGACATGGAACTGTTGGAGCAAGTCCAGAGGAGGCCACAAAGTTGATCAGAGGATTGGAGCATCTCCCCTGTGAGGACAGGCTGAGGGAGTTGAGGCTGTTCAGCCTGGAGAAGAGAAGGTTGTGTGGAGACCTCAGAGCAACTTTTCAATCTCTGAAGGGCCTACAAGGAGCCAGAGAGGGACTCTGTGTTAGGAACTGCAGTGACAGGACAAGAGGCAATGGGTTCACACTGAAGGAGGGAAAGTCTAGGTTGGATGTGAGGAAAACGTTTTTCCCTGTGAGGGTGGTGAGACACTGGCACAGGTTGCCCAGGGATGTGGTGGCTGCCCCAACCCTGGCAGTGTTCACAGCCAGGTTGGCTAAAGCCTTGAGCAACCTGATCTAGTGAGGAGGTGTCCCTGCCCAGGGCAGGGGGTTGGGGTTAGATGATCTATAAAATCCATTCCAACCCCTAAATTCTATGATTCCATGATGATTCTATGAAAACTAAACACATGAATAAAAAATGATTCAGAAGTCTTTAGTTAGTTCCTGAGCTGATGTAATGAGGAACTGTGTGAGCACAAGTAGTAAGCTTTAGCTTCATGTAAATTCATGTGAAAGCAGAAATATTACAGCTGTTTCTTGTGGCAAAAAATTGTAATTTCTGCTACTCTAGTTTTAACAATTTCTTGTCTGAACTGGGAACTGCCGCATAAGATGCACTTAATGCCTGCCCAAAAAAATGACAGATGGGATTATGAATTATTCAGCCATTGTTGGGAATAGTACAGCTGTCATCAGCTTCTTCTGCACCAGCTCAGTTGCTGTTAACTTGCAAACACGACCAAATGAGAAAACCATTCTTATGGCAGCTCTGAATATTGGTTAAGCCAAAAGCAACAAGATCCCCCATCTGAAAAATGCATAGCACTGGAGCAGACAACGTTTCTGGGCAGTTCTGAGGCTTCCTGGATCATGGACAGAACACCAGTTGAACAGCCAGGACTCTGCTCAAGAACACTGTGCTTTGCTCCTACTCAGCATCTCTCAAGAGGAGCCATTTTAGCTTCATAATATGCATCGCAGTATGTTAAGGGCTTGGGATGGAGCTTAGAGATGATCCAGCCCCAACCCCTGCCCTGGGCAGGGACACCTCCCACCAGAGCAGATTGCTCAAGGTTTTAGCCAACCTGGCTGTGAACACTGCCAGGGTTGGGGCAGCCACAGCCTCCCTGGGCAACCTGGGACAGTGTCTCACCATCCTCACAGGGAAAACACTTTTTCCTAATATCTAATCCAAATTTTCTCTCTTTCAATATATCCCCATTACTCCCTGTCCAATCACTACAGTTCCTAACACAGAATCCCTCTCCAGTTTCCCTGGAGCCCCATTAGATCCTGGAATGTTGCTGTGAAGTTCCCACACAACCTTCTCTTGAGGGTAAAAATGAACCCCTAGCCAAACAGCCCATGCTTCACTGAATCATTTGGGGACTTCCAGCACTGGAGACTCACTATTAAATATTGGGCTGTACTAAATCTGAACTTGCAAAAATGTGAAGACAATTTCCCTCTGACTGTCAGCTGGAGTACAGGATCCTCAGGATATGACTAAAGAAAGCAGAACTCCGTTATTGTGTCACAATGAAGAAACAGCAACTGCTGCTGCACTGATCCACTTAATCTCCTGATGATTCATACACCTTGCTGCCTGGAAATCTCAAGTGTAGAACATTCCAGTCAGCTTCAAGCAAACCTCAAGGCCTGTTCATGAAAATCTTGTCCATATTTGTTAAGTATTTATGTGTTACTGGAGAATTCTTTAATTAATTAACCTGTAATTTCATGATACAAACATTCTAGAAATGCAGACTAAAAATCCCCACAGAGATCTGTATTTGGTATGAAACTCTTGCAGCTTCTGTGGCTGAGCTGTCATTGCTTTGCATTATCCAGCTCCACATTACTAGTCCAGGACTTCAAAGATAGCTTGAGCACAAGCTGTGTGGTTTTGGGTAGAATTCTGGGGAAGATGGGATCTTTTCTGTATTGTGAGAAGTCAAACAGCACATTGTCCCAGGGCAAATCCTTCTGTGAGCTGCAATGAATGAGCAGTACACATGCCTGCAGAACCAAGGCCCAAGGTCAGGAGACTTCCTATGCATGAGAACACATGAGGAAACAACAGCTCCATACTCTCACCAGCTGGCAAAGTTTGACTGTTATTCACAGGGAACAACACTCAATAAATCAACACTCGCTTTTAACTCAAAGTCCTCACTCCTGATCACATTCACTCCTTTATAGTTAGTGACAATGATGTTCCCCTTTGCAGTTTGGCTTTGAGTCATGAATGTGGCTCTCCCAAACAGACAGACAGGCACCAGGCTTCCTGTGAGAATGCCAGATGTCACTAAAAAATATCACA